CGGCGGGTACCCGTCGGGCTAGCCTGGGTGCCACCCCGCGCGTGAGTGTCTATCTCCTAAGTAAAGTCACGGGAAGCCATACTCCCGGCAGACCTACTTGGCACACTGGGTCTAATTATCTCCTCGCGCATGAGGCGTATAGAGGGCTTCGCGTGGACAAAGGGTTTGGGTGGATAATGGTAGCGGACAAATACGGTTTCTCCCGAAATCTATCGCCAAATAAACGCCGGACTCTGGGGCACCCAGGGTTAACCGTCAGGCGTGCTAACAGCAACACAACAACCCGCCCCCAGTAACACTAACCAGCGTGCCAGGCCCTGCAGCGTGCCTTTGCCGGTACTGTGGCAGAGTGGGGCCCAGTGGGGCCGGTAAAATTCGGTGGCCAGCTGGATACGCGCGCCAGGGGGCTGTTGTTGTTAGCGGGCCGGCTAGCTGAACCGGCCACACCAGCGGTACTTTCCTGGATTTGTTCCATTTGATTTCGAAGTTGTTGAAAGAATAAATAATGGATAGAGATCAACTTCTTTTTGTCTTTTTTATTGTCTTCATCTTATGTAACCGCCTTCGTATTTCAGACAGCTTATGCATGAAATTCGCTTGTATTTATATTTTGAACATGTCTAGTTTTGACATATATCTGCTGTAGTACTCTGTATTGATAACTGTTAACGTGATGATAGCCGCCATCGTGAAACGCCTAATCTGCAGTACAGTAGCATATGCCTTCTGACTGGTTAAAAAAATGAAAACAAAGAAGAAATCATGTCAATAGAGCCCAAAATGGAAGATTTAAAAAATCCTGTCAATAGTGCCAAAAATGGCACTGCTGACAGGACGATCCTGTCAACAGTGTCAAAAATGGCACTGCTGACAGGACGATCCTGTCAGCAATGCAGTATTTCCTGTTATTGACAGGATCGTCCTGTCAGCAGTGCAATATTTTCTGCTATTGACAGGATCGTCCTGTCAGCAGTGCAGTATTTTCTGCTATTGACAGGACGATCCTGTCAGCAGTGCAGTATTTCCTGCTGTTGACAGGACGATCCTGTCAATAGCCTCAGGCAAATTGCAAGGGCAAACTGGAATGTACCACTATGCTGCAACATGTAAGACATTAACTTATGTTTAGAAATTTGATCAAATGTAACAACATTGTGTAGCTAAATATTGATATATAACTGTTATTATATCTAGCCTAGTCGCAACTATTCTTATTATAAGCTTGATTCAGTTATTTACGTAAGAATAGTTTTCGAGTGACAAGTTACCACCCATTTTGCAATGAGGAAGTCCATTGACTTTTGACACAAAATGGCTTCCTTTGCTTCACGTAAGAAGTTACACGCGTCATTTTGAGGAAAATTCCATCAAAAACTTGTGTTTCCGGACAACCAGAATGTACAACAGGGCGACAGGGACATCTTCGGGGGCACAGGGGGCGGTTTCTGTCAACATTCCGGCCGAAAATGCGGACAAAACTCTTCCTGACGTAGTGCCGGATAAGGGATCTGGTAAGTCTATGAGAGACACCGTCTGTCAAAATTTATGAATTTTATATAGCGTCTCACTCTTCTTTAGAATGATATTTGAATCATATTTTTGTTGCCTTCCACACAGAAACAAACTTAGTGTCACAGATACGGTATTTTGGTATTGTCTTAAGAAATAGTGAAACAGTAAAATTACTAGTACAAATTTGAAAATACAAATTGTACCAAATAGAAACACACAGCAGATGCTAGCCGTGGACGACTCTGTAACCCTTTTTGCATGATAATGCCGGGTACCCGGCATTATCATGCAAAAAGGGTTACAGAGTCGTCCACGGCTAAGCAGATGCTAAATAATATACCAAGGACGTTCAACACAAGTATTTCGACCTTGAGGGATAGTCTGAGTATATTTTCAGATACAGAGGTCTGTAAAACAAAATATAGAAACATTAGTCTCACTGTGTTGAACGTCCTTGAATATACTAACACTAACAGTCACACATGAACATTTTCTGCATGTTACATTGATCTGCACCACATGCTCATGAAGGTAATTTTTAATATTTTTGTCACAGATTGTTTATTGAAAAAACCCGTGAGATGTATATTATGGATGATAAGGTTATAAATTATAAGGTCTACAGGACTATGAATTATAAATATTATAGTCTACATGTTCTGTAGCACATACATGTATTTTCATATCAACTTATCATTGTTTTTCAGCATTATGGAATCGAGTTCATTTGGGGACCGATTCACTCTCAATGGTAAGATATTTTTTAATTGAAAATTAATAATTTTGCTGTCAATAGTGGAAAATTTTGCACTGTTGTCGACATTTAACAGAAAATGTTGTATGTTTAAATCCAACACAAGGTAAATTTTTTCACCTAGAGCTTTCGACCAGTCACTCTGGTCTTCCTCAGTAGACTGACCCAGTGAGGCTTGTCATCACATGGCTTCTTTGTGTGACGTCAACACTGGCAATCGATGTTGGTCCCCGGTCAAAGTTATGGTAACACCTTGTTGATGTAGCCTCCATACTACATGTAGTAGCATGCCAAAAACTGGGCGACTTTGGGAATTTTTATGTGCTACTTTCTGATTGCAATGCAATGTAGACAACATAGCCGGCCTGGTTGAACTCCCCCTGTTTTTTACCCCTGTTTTTAGAACTGGGCTGATTAGAAAACCGCCGAAGACCACCAAACCCCCAGTTCTACAAGCCTGCTACAGAGGTTATTGTTGATGGTCATTAGTTGACTAGCATCAGAGAATCTTACATGTTTCTACACTATTTTGTAGGAAAACTTCCACCCTTTCAAGTCTCAGGCAGGACTTCTGACCAGAGCTGCCAGAGAAGTGGGCAGAGTGTTGGCAGAGAGGAGGGTAAGCTTTTAACCAAATTAACATCCAAAAAAACAAAGAGAATAGGAAATATCTAATTGTGTAACTTGGGATACTACATGTAGTACTCTAACTCCAGTTATTTAATGCACGAATCTCTGCATTATTGTAATAAGTTGTAATAACAATGTACATCTATTGTCTTAGGAGATGGTATGAATGTGTCAAATGGTGTCAACTCCTTCTTTCAGCTTCAGGAAATTAGACAATAAAAATGAATGAGATATTCCTGTTAATCATTATTTAATAATATATATAGTAATAACGGAACTACCTTTTTGTAGCCAGACCAATTTCTGATGACAGTGTATGTTCCCTTTTGGTGTATTTTGCTGTTGTTTAATGTCTTTTTGTTTTTGTTTTGTGCATAAAATGTCCTTCATAATCATACATTACAGAATAGCATTTGAATTGTTACAATTTACAAGTCAAGTTCAAACTGATTTAAGATTGTACAATCTTTTCCAGGCCAGAAGGGTGATGTTTATAGCAGTGCTGAATGTACTGTGTACCCTGGTGTTGTTTGTATGGTGTAGGACCACAAGGAGCATGGGTTAGTACACAGGACATTCTGTTTCTTCTTGTATTTTGCATAGTATATACTGCAGAACTGATGTTTTATAAGTATTCTGAGAGAGTATAAACAAATCAGGGCTTGAAATCATTTTTCTTTTTACATTCCTGCAATGGTGCAGGCAACATTTAAAACTACCTTCACCAGACAGATTTTAAATACACTACAGTTTCTTTGCCTTTCAAGTCACAAAAGAATTTAAATTGTATCTGTCGCAGGCACGCGGCACGGAGGCAGCTACCTTCATTACACCGAGCGACTTGTTACACCCAACCCTTGAACTCTTAACTCCAGATGTTGTTTAATGCTATCTATTGTGGATTGATTGTGGATCTGAAAGAAAGGATGCTAGTAGCACCAATTTCGATTTAAAGATGGAAGTTATCTGCTGTCTTAAATGATGCTACTTTGAAGAATGCACTTGGCAGTTTTTGACCACTGCTGGTCCCACCTGGAATTTTAACAATTAAACATTTGTCATTCGATTGTCAAATAATATCATATTCTTACATGCAATGATGAAGAATTTTTATTTGTATCATGTGAGGGAAGAAAGAATGATTGCAATGTCTATTAATAGATTTAGAGTAAATAAGTTGGAAATCAATGGATCATTGATGCAGATTTTATTTTTCTTTTCAGCCCTGCTGGCATATACTTACCTGACTGTGTTTGACATTCTGTGGTGAGTTGTGTGTTACCAGTACTACACATATACATAACGTTACTTAATTAACACTGCAAATATTTTTGAAAAGTAGTGTACTTTTACTAAGGCAACATAACAACCAAGAAAGTATTTTATTACATTAATATTATTAAGATTAGAAATCATAACTATTGTATAATTGATTGATTGCTACATGTACATTTGAGACTTTTTTTATACTGCTATCATGTATTGTTATCTCCCATGTTTGGCTTTGCAAACAATGGAAGTAATGATACTTTGTAATCGATTCATGTCTATTGTTAAATCTACAGCTTGGTCACATGTTTGGTCAGCATCTGGGTTTCCATACAGAAGCCAACTCCTGCATTTTCATTTGGGTGAGTTGCAGCTATCTAGCACATCAGCAGAATGTACTGCACCTGTACAAAATCTGCATTGTATTGTATTCTGCATGGCACTTTGACAGAACGTCTTGTTTAAGGTTGTATTCATATGTTTAATAATAGCACCCTGCGTAATATATAGTTTTCAAATGTTGTGTCGGGAAAGATGTCTCTAATAGACAAGATTCTGATACAACATTGACCAAACATCCAAAGAAAACTGAAAAATCTGTGCTTTCTCACAGACGCAGTATGGTCTGCTGTCTACCTTAATTTGAAGTACTGACAACACATCTCAAATTGAGCTGCCTTAAAGAATATAACTAAGGCTGTAACCAGGAGGTTGTATCTTTGTGGTAGTTTTAGCTTAGTAAGCATATTTTTGGGAGATATTGCAATAGCTGATGCAACAGAAGGAGGCAAACTTGGGAAGATTTCAGATGTATTTATGACATGTAGTCTCTGTATGTTTCACTTGATTGAATTACTTATGTCCTTTTCTCTTTAGATATGAAAGATTCGAGGTCCTTGCCGTATTTACCAGCACAACATTGGCTCAGCTGGCACAACTGTTTGTGGTGAAAGAAAGGTATTGTATTTTAAAAAATGGCACTTGTAATAGTGAACATCAGTTACCAATTTTGGAATAGGAATATTAGTTAGTTACCAATTTTGGAATAGGAATATGTTATTAAAACTACATGTATTTACATCTGTTCTTTTTGCTGTTAACTATTGCAGTATTGAGAGGCTCCTACACCATCATGATGTCCATACGTAAGTTTCATCTTACATTCTCATTTATTTATTGTGTATTGAAAGTCTTAAATCACAAATAAAAAATCACAAGAAATATTACCTGACATATTTCATAAATCATTTTCACTGTATTTTTTAGCTATTGCCTGAGTGTCCATTACAAGTTCAGTCAACACGTAAAGTGTAAACATATCTTTAACATATTTGTGCCGGTAGAAGTCATAATGAAACAAGTTTAAACTGTTACTAGTATTTCCAACATAATACATTGGACCCAAATTTTCCACTGCACAACTCCAGTCTTTGTCAAGGAATGAGCAATCCAGTACTTCTGTGACTTAACGTTATGCAAATGACACAAATGAACAGTGGATCATACTAGGTAAAGAGGCCATCTACATCAGGGTATTGTAACTACATGTATCCCTCAACAAAGTTGGGGAGCACAAGTTCGCAACAGACTTTCTTTGACCTATGATCCACAGCTCACAGAAACAGTGGATGGATTGTTAATTCCAATTTCTTGGGTTGGAAATTACAGTCCAAACTTTAACATATTGTTAAACTTGCAGTGGAAGACTGTTGGTCGGTACTGCTTTTGGCTTTGCAGTCCACTTTGTGTCAACCTACTTTGTCAGCAACAAGGCATTCCAGCATGTTTCAGAGGGTGAGTAGTACTACTAGTAAGCCATAATTATAAGTGAATATGTAATATGTATGCTACTTATATATACCGGTACTGTGAATAACTTACCAGAAACCCAATACCAGTGAAGAACTGTAAGGCCATAGCAAATAATTTTTATGGATGACATCAGTGCGCGCATTAATTTTTGCCTGATTTTGGAAGAATAAAAACAAGAAATTTTGTTGCCCTCTGACAGTGGTCAACATTACCGAAAATGGGCAAAGATGTCTGTAAATTGCCATGCCAGAACATGGATGGCAGATAGATATAAAGAGAGGAGACAAGACAAGGCTCTGATTTGATGTTTTGCCTTTTACTTTGATGCAGTTTTGTATTTCCAGTTTCCTTTTATATGTGATGGTGGCTGTCTATATGTGATGTTCTCACTGAATCAAAACCATTTGTACATTGATTGAAAAGTTGAGAAATGGATGTTGTACATGTAATACTAGTTGGCAGTAAACTTAGCACAATATAGGTACATTTTGTATCACTTCTTGTTTAACAAGGTTTATTATATCAAAGTTTAAAGATGTTTTTTTTGTCCCGCCTTGTTTTATTTTCGCCCAATCGCATTAGATTTGGAGTCTGCAGAGGATGTCATCCATAAAATTTACTTGCTGTGGACTAATGCAACAATTGTGCAAAGATTTTCTATGCTATTGTAGCAACTATTTAAGAACAGTAATATTTCCCTACATGTATGTGATCTTTGGTTGTTTTTTGCATTTTACTGCAGCCTCTAGCTCCAGCTGGCTACAGGAGCATGTTGCAGACATGAGCAGAAGGTAAATATGATATTTAGTCTGAAATTTGTAGATCTACATATACATTTTGTAGGTCTGTGTTCCTCTTTAGAGAAGAGTATTAGTGATTTCATTGCTGCAAACTCTGTGGTCTGTGGCTTATCTGCTATTATTATTATCGGAAAGGTGAAGGTCTGTTGCATCAAACGTCATTCCCAGTGGTCTGGTCATGTCAGTACAGTGTAGCTGCATGACTGCAGTACCATAACTCATCACTAGGTGTCTCTTCAGGACAGTGTACAGGTCCATTGGCTACAGCTTTTAGCATTTTGGAAAGAAAATTGGATCTATTAACTGTGAAGAACTTATGTTCTATTGGTATTTGATACAAACTTTCTTGTTTCTTGGGTCAAGCAGTGTATTGTAAGGTTTCTAATACCACGGGAAAGACTTTGTGGAAAAGAGTTTGTACGTTTTTGTACTAACTTGTCATCGTTTTTAGTTTGTGCAGCGTTGTCCCCGGACTGAGCAGCTTGTTACTACCCCGGATCAACCCTCTGCCTCTCATCGCTGTGGCAGGCGCCCTGGCTCTCTTCATCACAGACATGCTCATAGAGATCAAGTAAGGCACTGTCTTCCCAACAACAACAACAACAACAACAAAAACACTTGGAAAAGTAACATTTTCAAAGAAAATGAATATGTTCAAATTCACATGGCCTAGCCTAACAAACTACTGCTCTGTTTACTAGTATTCTTACCCAAACACATTCATATGTAGTGACCAGCCCCTCCAACTTGCTACATAATGTAATACAACATCACTAGGATGTCTGCTACATCACCAGTTACCATGGTGACAGCCATCTGGTCCAGGTCATTGGCCTTATTTTCTTAGAGAAGAAGAAAAGAAAAAGAGCAAAATAATATATTTTCCTTCTGTGAATGTAAACATAAAGTATTTTTAGCAACATTCTGATTTTCTTGCTCTTCTTCCAGGTTCAAGTAAGTTATTATTTTTGTTTCTCCTCTAGCAATTACTTCCGAGCAGATACATTTGCAGCCATCTCCATAGCCATCATGACTATCGGCACCATGTTCCCCATGTCTGTGTACAGTGGCAGGATTCTTCTACAGGTAAGCGGAGCCTTTCTTTAACCTTCTCACTGCTGCCTCAATACACCATAAACAATGCAAATTTGGTGCCAAACAGCTACCTTAGGAGGCTGAAGGTTAATGACAGACACAGTAAACAATAGTACCACAGATGCCCCCCCCACCCCCCACCCCCCCACCCCGGTGAAATCATAGAGCCAAATGTTCACACCAGTTTATTTTGGGTCTCAGTTTGATTCTGCACACCCCCAAGACCAGCAACCATCTCTTTCAGGAAATAATTCTGAAGCAAAAAACTGAATTTTAGAATTTCACTTTCTTTAAACTCTCAAATTTTAGTAAGTCTTTAGGATAAAAAAGGATTTTCTCATCAAACCTAATCCAAAAAATTTTCACTTGGAATTTAACCAATCACATATATAGTTTGGACACCAAAAAAAATTATATTCTTGAAAGGAGAAAACCTATACGTATAGAAAGACACGTATATAAAAAAAATTAGAAAGACCCACATGTAACACATCACTTTCAAAACAGAAGAATATCCAAAAGTAAGACTCGTGCCCAAATTCAATTTTCACCCCAAAAACACCACCAATTTTCCACCATTTCACAGCAAATAATGAGAAAGATTCAATGCAATTCTAAACCCTCAAAATCCTTTCGTCCCTTTTTTACCATCCACTACATGTGCCTCGGACCCCTGTCATGGAAGTATTCCTGTATTCACCAATTAACGTACATGTAGTTAAACCCCACTCTCTACTCGAACTTCAATGACTAGTATTACATGAGAATGTATGCTTTTTTTTTTCAGACCACACCGTCTCACATAATAGGACAACTAGACAAGTGTCTGAGAGAGGTGGGTTCCACACACATCTCCTTTTTTCTAGTTTGCAGAACATTTGGTGGTGAAGAATACAGACTGGTTGGAAAATGAAATTTTAACTTACTAGTACATTGTTTCTCTCTGTCTTCAAGGCATCAACTCTGGACGGGGTGTTGGAATTCAGAAATGAACATTTCTGGACTGTCTCCTTTGGGACTTTGGTGAGTACTTAATATCACAACATATACATGTACAGTATGATACATTTTTCATGTCCTATATGTAAGATCTTATGGTTATGTTCATGTTTGTTGTTCCCATGGGAATGAAAGATGAGTGTACTTTTTTCAAAACTGTGCATTGTTCCCTTTCAGGCTGGCTCACTTCATGTTAGGATCAGAAGAGATGCGAATGAGCAGGTAAGCCATTATACCTTTTACAGATTCTAGTTTGCATGGCTGACTACAACAAGTACCATCTAGTCTAACTTCTTACATGTACAATCAAATCCTTGTCATGCAAGCGGGATCCAAGAGAATGTACTTGTCAGTGAAAATACTAGTAGCCGTTTTTGCATGATAGCCACTTGAAGTTCCTTCCTGCATAGAACAGCACTCGTCTTTGCTTCTGTAGCCCTTGGGCCACACAGTTGTGCAATCAGTACAGCAAGGATTGTGTGTTTTTCTGTCTCCCATACTCTCCCTGAAATGCTGAGTGCTGCAAACAGAAGGAAAGCAGTATTGGGCTAAAGTGTAAGCCCAAATGTTCAAACACTCAAGCTGCAGTATGAACCATTTTTAAAGTCTTTGGTATGACTCTGACGGGGAACAAACTCACTACCTACCTAATGAAAGACAAACACTCTGAAGTAAAGCTACTGATGTAAGAAATTTTTCCCACAGATGGTGTTGGCCCATGTCTCCAACCGTCTGTCCAACCTGGTGACCGTACTGACCATCCACATCTTCAAGGACGACTGGACGAGGGCCTCCCTGTCCGCCTCGAGCTATGCCGCGTCCCGCCAGCCCTACACCAGCACGCCCGCCAAAACTGGACTGGACCCCGCCGTGCCCACCGTCAACCCTTTCCAGCCCCTCCCTCCCCTTCATGCCCCTAACCTGTCCACCATTACCCCCATAGGTTCACCTACGGTACCTTCACTGCACCAGCCTGCAAGTAGGCTGTATGGTAGTGGTACCACGGTACCCAGTCACGTGGCACTGGGGCCTGCAGGTAACCCTGGGGGTAGGATACCTCTCAGGACATACCAGCCTACTAACCTGTTTGGTGCAAGCGATGGGAGTGGACAAAAATCTACAACAGAATTTGTACATAGATGAAGTTTCAGGACCAATGTGTAGTTGTATGTAGTGGCACTGCAGTACCTAGTCACTGGGGCTTACAGGTAATCCTGGGGGTAGGATACCTCTCAGGACATAACAGCCTACTAACCTGTTTGGTGCTAGCGATGGGAGTGGACAAAGATCTACAACAGAATTTGAACATAGATGAAAAGGCTCAGGACCCATGGTTGCATGTAGTGGCATTAAGATATCTAGTCACATCGCACTGGGGCCTACGTGTGTCAGGTAATCCTGGGGGTAGGATACCTCTCAGGACCTACCAGCCTACTAACCTGTTTGGTGCTAGTGATGGGACTGGACAAAAATCTACAACAGAATTTGTACATAGATAAAAAGGCTTAGCATACATGTATAGCTGTACAGTAGTGGTACCACGGTACCCAGTTACGTGGCACTGGGGCCTGCAGGTAACCCTGGAGGTAGGATACCTCTCAGGGCCTACCAGCTTACTAACCTGTTTGGTGCAAGCGACGGGACTGGACAAAAATCTACAACAGAATTTGTACATAGATGAAAAGTTTCAGGATACATGTATAGCTGTACATTAGCGGCACCGTGACACCAAGTCACATAGCACTAGGACCTATTTCAGGACGTACCAGCCTACTACTAATCTATTTGGTGCTAGCGATGGGACTGGAGAATAATCTACAACAGAATTCGTACACAGAATACGTGTATAGCTGTACAGTAGCGGTATCACTACGCTATCACTGATTTTTCACAGTTTTGTTTGGATGTTTGGTCAACGTTGCATCAGAATTTTGTCTGTTGCAGACGATATCCTTTTCGACATAACATTTGAAAACTACTGACGAGATGTTAACCTTCTTCCATTCTGCCAACGTGCAGTACGTTTTGCGGACGTACTCAGGCAACCCTGGGGGTAGAATATTTCTCAGGACCTACCAGCTTACTAACCTGTTTGGTGCTAGCGACGGGACTGGACAAAAATCTACAACAGAATTTGTACATACTAAGTTTCAGGATACCTACATACCAAAAATCAAGACAATCCGTCAACCGATTCTTGAGTTATCATCCTTCGAAAATTTTTCAACAAATGCTCCTGCAGTTCCAGAACAAGCTGCTAGGCGGCCCAAACTCATGTCACTTCTTCCCTACCCAATGAGCTATCTACCAACCAAAATTTGTGACCCTAGCATGTCCAGATCGAGAGATATCAAAACCGGAATTTCTGCTGCAGTACCAACAAAAGCCGCCAGGGGGCCCAGAATCTAATCATTTCTACATCTCATCAAGACCTACCCACCTACCAAGTTTCATGACAATGCATAATAGGCTTCTTGAGATTTGCTGTTCACAGACAAACGGACAGACGGACAAACGCTACTGAAAACATAACCTTCTTGGCGAAGGTAATAATTATGCAGTGCTTTGAGCTAAGGATAGGAAAAAATGTTCTTGTAACTTACAGTATCAGCATCTATTAGACAGTCAGAGGTTCAGTATATGCGGGTCAGTTTGTCTTTGTACAGGTACTATGTAGTTTTACTGCCCCATCTGTTATTGTAGCATAGGAAGAGAAAAGAAAGCTGACAGTTAATATGGAAGATGGCCCAGGTTACTGTTAATGTTGGGTTACAAGCTAGTAAGAGGCCAATTTCGTCATTGTGTTGCTACAATCCTTAGTAAATGTACATGTACATAGGCCACTAGTATTAGTAATTGTCTGTTTGGTTCTGGTACTAGTACTACTTGTATTGAACTTTCATAACATTTCAAGATGACTTGATTATGGATGGCATCTGCGCACACTAATTTTCATCGGTTCCAAGGGAAGTTTGGGCCAAATCGTACATCGTAAGAAGCTGCTATAATACTGCATGCCGTAAATTTTGTAAAAGAATATAGGAAAATGAATACTAATATCCCACAATGCCTATTGTACGGATTTTGTCATAAACTTACTCATTTGCCAAAATTTATTTCGTACCCTGAGCGAAGTCTTATCAAGTTGAAGGTGTAAAAGGCGCACGGCCGCGGTCATGGATTACAGACTTAAAGGAGTGGACCGGGAGAGAGCTATGGGAGAGAGTGAGAGTGAGTGAGTGAGTAAAAGATCAGTGAAGTGAAGATTTTTGTTTCTTTTGTATACTATGTTCTGTTAGCCTCCTTTGCAGACTTCTGTAGACATTTTTCCAAGACCGCGGATTTTTGCTACAACATTTCATTAGTCATTAACGTCTGTCCCAAACTCCGTGACAGTCGTGACGTCTGTGAGCTGAAAGTCGCTCCAGTTTGACTCCAAGTCCAGTACGTGTCAGCAGAGTTTGAACGTGGGTTTCCACAACTTCAACGTGCACACACGACACCACAGATCCCCTCAGCACTGAGCTTAGGAACGAATTCTGTGCTCATTGAATGTACAGCTCATTGTGGAAGTTGGCGAGAAGTAAATAACGTTTCGTGTAATATGCTATATTACATGTACATATGTTATGTGTACGTAACAATGCCTTAACTTAAGCATTATCGTAAGTTGAATCAGCTCTGTCCCATAGCATACTGATACTGTAGTACTGGAAGGCCAAGGACATTGTCCTTGGTGAGGCAAAATGATATCGCTGATGGAAAACGATTGTTTCGTATCGTCTACAGGTTGGTTTTAGCTATTCATTGCTGATACCGAAAAATAATGGGTCTCACGTAGCTTGTTTTGTGGCTGCATCAAACGCTTCAAGTATTAAATGATGACGAAAATGTGCTAAGAAATGTCAATATCAGACAGACTTCCTCATCAAGAATATTTTGATGTCTTGAGATTAGAGCATTTGCGTGCAGCAAACAAACACATGACCTCTTTGTTTACTACCTGTGTGACCTTGGACACCTGCCGCTGACGTCACAGGTCGCTAGGATACCAGATCAAGTTGGGCACTCGCCGTATGTGTTAGTAGGACGTGGAGTTTTGGCGCGTTCAGTTGGGAATTTCTCGTGCAAAAACGGTACTTTTTATACGCGCTAAACTAATGATGGTGTAGCAGAAGGGCTGAACAAGCTGACTGTTGGAACAGGTTTCAATGAAGAGGGTTTGATGCACATTGTGGACAATTTTTGGTTTAGACTCTGCCTCGGAAAAGGAGCTGTTCAAGCGGCCATGTTGGTATCGGGACAAAGGTACAGTGAATCTGTGAACATAGGGACGTGTAACTATGGCTAAAAACAGACAAGGACTCAATGCTCAGCAGTTTGGAAATGATCTGAATGCTTTAATTTCTTTGCTGGATCTGAAGATAGAAAATAGGTGAGTGACCATGGACGGTGCTACATGCATCTTTGTAATGTAGTATAGTGGTTGAACAATGTGAAGTAACGTTAATTGCTCCATGCTAAGACAAAGTAAATCTGAAGCGATTATCTTAGTGTTCTTCGGTTTTTATCTTTGATTGTAACCAAAATAATCAAAGACTGCTTTGACACTGCTTTATGACATGTAGTTTCTGACTTTTGTGGATGACCAACTATGACCCTTGCAAATCGTGTAATATACTTTGATCTACAATAAACTAGATGGCTATTAAGTGTCTTTGTGTACTCCGAAGGATTTTTATTTCATGGTGCATTTAGTTAAAATAAGCTAATTGTTTCTTCAGAAAGTTTAAAATACATCCTTATGAAGCAGTACAGACACTGCCCAAACAGGCACATGGCAGCATTTTAATGGCAATGCCGTACTACGATGGCCTGAAGCCACTCTCTTGAACGTAATATTTTTATGCATCCAAACCGAATTAGCATCCATTTGCTTACATTATTACCAAATTAAACAAAATGAGGCCAACAATCATTACAAAAAATGCTATAACCATGATCGGCAATGCAGACTGGCATGCATGCTATGTTACCATTATAAAATGTCATCAAGAAGGCCAAATGGACGCGTCGTACATGCATGTTGTATTCATTTCAGGTGATCATTTGTTAAATTCAGGTGATCGCATACTATCACAAGTGATCGCATACTATACTATCCAGTTCTACATAGCAGCAGCAGCATTCTTGTTTATGATGTAGGCTACGTTGTTCGGTCTGTCACGGTGACGTGATAGTTCTCTATACGGCAAGCCACATAGATCTTCGAACCTGTGTCATTGGTACCAGCCTGGTTACCATGTCCACCTGTCGTTATAGACTCTGGAAATTAAAAGAATGATCACGAGTTAGTTGGAACTTATTAGCACGTACAGTGTAGCTGTGTGTATGGTGCAAGTAATGGGAACAATGGATGGGACTTAAACTTGACTTACATTTGATAAAATAGCTTCAATTCATGTGTGTAGTGTTTTTGAAATTCATCTCATCAAATCGAGCTCAAGTGCAACAAATTTTAATAATAGTATAATAGTGTCACGGGAAAATGTTTACCTTTGTCGCCTGTAATATAGATGGTTTTGTTGACGCAACCCCAATAGGTCGTACTTCCAACATTCCTGTGCTCGGCATTGTCCACATGTGTGGCCGGCCGGGGTGACGATTCGTCCTCTACAATAGAATTCGGCGGCATGTTATTGTTTTGTTATAACTTTATACAAGGAGGTAAATCCTTGCTATGACATTTTCACACTTTCACGTGATCAGTGCCAGCCCATAGCGCGACCTGACCGCTGTGGCTGTGAAATTTGCATACTAACTTGACTACACCGATCACACATAAGAACTTGTACTCGGCAAGCGCGTACAACCGTGACTTAGAGGGCTTTGTAACAACAATATATAGGCGACACTAACTGCCCAGCCCAATGGCTCCTGGACCTTTTGCCCTAATCGGTTGGTGGGCTGGTCATGAGCTGACACGCCGCCGGAGTTAGAGTCAACCTTTGAGTTTCCTAGCCTCTTTCTTTCTTCCTTTCTTTCCGCTGACATGTATATAACTGACAAGTACATTTGTACATGTACAGTGGCGACACGTTATGGTTCTCGGGTTGTGCGTGTTCGAAGAAGGGTGTCAGAGTCAACCTTCGAGTTACTTTTTCTCTTGTGTTACAGCTTCATACTTATAAAAGTCATGTACAGTAATCCCTATATGTTCAACAACTGTGTGCAATGTCTATATGGCACTGTGAGCATCGACTGCCATCGAACGGTTACTTCACATGCAATATTTGAAAAGTACCTCTACACGTCTGATGTCATCAAACAGGTTCTGAAAAAAATGAATTTTGTGACGGACACATTTGAGGCAGCGATATCCAGGTGGACTATTACTACTATGTCAGTAGAGATGCCATAACGGAAGATAAATTCTGACCCTAGCTAGGATCTAGGGCCAATCTTACCTCTATCTTCAGTGGTCCCTATACGTAGATGTTCATGGAAAACAAACTTACCTGTCGTACTTCGCCTCTTGTAGTTTTTATACATGTCCCAGACCTGTGATCCGATTCGAAAGATTCTTAAGAAACTCATGTTGACTCCAGTCTTAGCTTATTGCCGACCACGTCAGTCCCTGTCCG